AAAGATGCATTTCAGATGAAGGCTCGAAACACTTCCCATACAGTGAATCGTCTTCAAGTTCGGAACGCATTTCTTTGGCGTCTTCCTTCATATTGCAAGTGGACAACATCACTTCAGCTCTATGTTAACTGCTTCGTCTTCATGAGCTCCTGCTTCGTCTTTTTTAGTACTTTGACAAGGGAAGCCAAGGAGGGTTTTGGTGGTGGACGGGAGGAAGATTATGAAGGAGATTCCACACCCCTCTCCAATCTCCAGTCAACAAGATCGATTGCCTCAAGGATTCAAACATGGAGAAGAAAAAAGAAGAGGAGAGTCGATGTGTGGCTGGAAGACCAAAACTATCATTCTCAAATACAAAGATGTCAAATCGAATGAGAAACCATTGGCTGTCAGCTCTATTGCTTCCTCCGACGACAGCGGTAGTAGAGGCGAAATCCACGGAGAGACAGAGGCTGTTTGAAAACTGAATTTAGATGGTTTGTCGCGGGAGGAATTGTTGGGTGCGCTTAGATTGGTGGAAGAGAAGTTGGAAAAAGTGAGAAGGAGAATTTTTGGTTGAGGAAGAAGGGTTGTGCAAGAAGAGAGGGAATTTTGGAGGGGTCGGAGAAGCAGAGTGGGTTGGGGTAGAGAAATGAGAGGAGTCGGGAAGACAGAGGGGCATATATTTTATAGATTTGTTTATTTTGTTGGTTAAGGATTGAGTTGAGTTAGGGTATATGATGTGGCCAGTTTTCTGATGTGGTAGGTCAAAATTAATTTTTTTAGGGTTAAAATTGGGTGACTAGATTATTCTGTTAGCCATGTCAGCAAAAAATTAACGCCGTTAACGGAGACTAACGAAAGGTAACGGAAAGTGACCAAACTTGAACCATTGAACTAATTTGATTAAGCACGAATGGAATAAATTAATTTTAGTGACAAAGGTGAAATTTTCTAATAATCCATCGAACAAACTTGCAATTTACCCTGAGTATATATATACTACCTCAATGGCGAGTGGTTTATTGAAGTGCTTTTTTGGCTATACTACCCCAATTGTGATATTTTGGAAGCGGAATTAGGAAGTAATCCTAGCTATGTATGGCGCAATTTAATGACTGGACAGTCTTTGATGAAGGAAGGCATAAGATGGTGAATTGGGAGGGGAGATCAAGTTCGCATTTGGTGGGATAAATGGGTTCCCAGTAGCCCAAATTTCAAGATTGACTCACCAATCTCCTCTTTGGGATTACAAGCTCTGGTGTCTGATTTGATTGATCCATCATATAGGAGTTCGAAAAGTAATATACTTCAGTCATATTTCCACCCTACAGATAGAATGTTACACCCGGTATCTGATTTTCCTAGAATTCCCAAATAGCCCTCACTTAGCTGTAGTGATTAAACTCAATGGTTAATCTTAATTAATCGTGTTTTAAGAATATGACTTGATAATTGCTGGGGAAATGATTGTAACCGACACTTAAGTGGTAATAATAAAGAGGTTATGAATAATTAAAGGAAGGTTACGTGGGATGGATGGACAGAAAGCTGTGGATTTGGTACATGATTTTTCCATATATACAAACGTATGAGAGTGAGGAGCAGAGGCGGTCACAGTTGGACTTTTGGAATACCGTCACATCGGAGAGAAATCGATGGAGGGAGATATAGCCATCGGGCCACGATCCATGGAGCAGCAGCGGCCACAAGAAACCCACATCTCCATCTGGATCCTCCCTTCTCGAAATCCTCGGAACCACAAAGGAAGTGAAGTGACGGAAAGCCACTCGTGACGATCACGTCGCGGCCTGTTATGCCTTGTCGGTGCCCAGCAGTGGACGAGCATAAAAGAAAGTCTGGGAGCCAAGAAATTTTCGACGTTCAGATATTGACGAGGATGGGACGTAACAGTAAGAGCTCGAATGGAATTGACCTTCGTTCATGGATCTAAGCCAAGGTGAGTAGATAACCAGCCATTATACTTATATCGTAAGATTTAGATGCATCTAGTAGTTCGATTCTGGAAATTAGTGTCGTGTTGCCTACTGTTTCCAAAGAAAATCAAGGGTTGTAGGTTGGTCAGTTTGATTACGAGATGCGGCTTAAAATAGGGTTGTTGAGGATGGTCAATTATGTGAATAATTGGTGGAAGACAAAGGTTAACGTGGCCAGAAGTAATGATTGGGTTTATTTGGGTTGGAAATAATTAGTGTTTTGGATGGAATTACATGTGTTGGCGAGATGAAGACATGAGATGTGATTACAATTTCTTAAAGAGCTTTCGGAAGCACATGGAGAGGTGGAGCTTGTGTGTATGCGTCAAGTGGGAGGTGATCCTAAGGCGATGAACTCTTACTAGTTGAAGTGGATAGATTCGAATAATGAGGTGAGTGTAAAGGGGGTAAAATCTCCGTCGAGGTCTTTTAGTTTATGCCTTTTTAATTCAGTTATGTTATTTAAATTTTCAAGTAAGCGCGATTATGTGTGTGAGGCATCCCACCGCCTATAAGGGTGGAGGCACGCGTTGTGCTATTTATGTGATGTATGGATGGTGATAATTGAACCCCCGGGCGGTTGGGCCACTACTGGACGCGGTAGATGGTCGGGTCACTACTGGACGGCGATACGTAACGCAGTAGTTGACCGGGCATGGACTGGACGGCGATACGTAACGCAGTACCATTGCCTTGAGGATAGGGACACCGGACGGCGATACGTAACGCGGTGATTCCCTAGTAATAAGTATATAAGTTAAGGTAGTAGTAGAGAGCTTCTATGATTTAAGGATAAAAGTTGAGAACCTCTATGAGTTAAAGTTGAAATGAGTTATTAAGGATGAAAGTGAGAACGACTTCCATCTAAGGAAAGGAAACGCTAATAACGTGTTTTAGTAAGGAGGTTGCTTAGGGCAAAGACCTTAGGAAGTAACGACGAGACTGACCCCTTCTCACTCACCAGGTTGAGGAAGGGTTAGCAGAGGTGGATCCCGAGAAAGAGCAAGGCAAGGCGAGCAGCCGCACCAGCATTGACGAGATGTCCCGGAACTAAGCAAGGAGTTATAGTTTGTTTAGTCAGTTGTGTTTATGATTATGAGTATAACTGGAGGTTCAAAGGTTGAGGTTTATTAACTATGCATTTGAGTTTTGCCCACGTGTTTAGGGCATTGCATTTGACGTTTTTCTTGGGAATGTTTAAGTTGTATTTAAATTTTAAGCTTTGTTTTTAACCGGCTCCGGAGCCATGATTATTTCAGTTGTTTAAAAGGATCGGGGTGTTTCATAGAACAAGAATTCTTCAAATCCCCTTGTCTAAGCATCCACGACTAGACGTTTGGGTGTGGGGAAGGGATAGATTGGGGAAAATACTCAGTGAAGTCTGGATATCACGAATGGAGAAGGAAGAAGATGAGTGATCAAGAGGAGAAATATGTTCCTGTGGACTGGAAGAGAATGTGGCATCTCCAATTACCACAAAAAGTACGAGTGTTCTTGTGGAGATGGGGAAGCAATATCTTCCCAACTGGAGGAAACCTAACTAGAAAAATTCAAGAGGCTAGTGACGAGTGCCCTTTTTGTGGCCTGCAGGAAACGCAAGAAAATATCCTAAGGGATTGTGACTGGGCAGGCAGGGTATGGAGACCTAGCTTCCTTCGAAAATTGTTTATGGAAGGGGAGGCGAAAACCTAATGAGGAATGGTTATGTGAAGTTAGCGACAAAGCTACGGATGAAGAGCTATGCTCTATGGCTATGGCCCTATGGTTCATGTGGAAGGAACGCAATTATCATCTATTCAATAACAGAAAGCTTAAAGAGTGGGAGGTTATTGAAAGGTCTCAACTATACCTATAGGAATTACGCAGTAGCACCCAGGGCCAGATCGACGGGGCAGTGGGAGAAGCCGGAGAGGGGCATGTTGAAGGTGAATGTGGATGCAGCGAAGTTGAAGGAGGGTGGTACAGGGATGGGGATAGTGATTCGGGACGAGGACAGTAAATTTGTCATGTCGGCGGTGAGGAGGACGAGGATTGATTGGTAAGTGGAAATAGCTGAAGCCCAAGCTTTTATATGGACGATGAATTTGGTTAAGGTGCACACGCAGAAGCTGATTTTGATGGAAACTGACTGTCAGTCGTTAATCCAGAAGCTTAATTAGGATAGCCCGATTGAAATGGAACTGGGGACGGTAGTGGAGGAAATCAGGGAGTTAGGTCTGGAGATGGGTGGTGCTCGATGGAGGTTTTGGGGGAGAAATGGCAATAAAATGGCAATGATAGTTTGTCGATGGGAGGAGACAAAAATGTGGATTGAAAGACCTCCTGTTTTTCTTACTTTGTCCTTGATGAAGGACTGTAATGGTACTTTGCCCAATTAAATAAAATATGCAGATTTTGGTTGTAAAAAAAAGTGCTTTTGTTGCTTGTTAGTTGTCTTTTCGCATGAGAAATATATCGGGTTTGGATATGATAAAATTTTGACTCAATTCAAAGGTAATCACCATCACCGAGCCATTGTCAAATATACTATAATCTTCTTGCAAAGCTAGTTATCGTACCATGGTTGTTACAGACTTCCTACTGGATGGTTCAATTGGATACAGCCGGTACTGGTTACCAAACCAGTTGGAAAGGAACCAGTATTCAGTACAGGTCAAATCCTGTCAATGCCGGTCAGAATCGGAAAAACCAACCGGCCAAACAAAAAAATGTACGTCATTATTTTCACACTTGTCCAAATTTCATTTATATACATTTATTTTACTTATCTAATTGTTTACTATTTTCACACTTGTCCAAATTTCATTTATATACATTTATTTTACTTATCTAATTGTTTACTATTAGTTACTAATTACTAACTATGAATTATTTTATGTGAATTAACTCCTTTAGTTGCTTCTTCCTTACTAATGTATTTGGTATTAATAAATTTTCACTTTTCTAATACATTCAATAAAAACCGGTATAAACCAATCATACCACTTTTCATAACATTCCATTTGCCAAATCGGCATAAGGTCATAAACCGTGACAACCATTTAATGTACACATGACATGCCACATCCTCCTACCATGTCACCAACCAGGATCCTCAACCAGCCAATCAGAACATCTCTGATAAGATAAAGCTCAATCTTCACATTGCCCATTCCCCTTCACATCCATTTCATCCTTCCCATTCCAATCCCACATTCTGAACCACACAAAACCGTGAAAAGCTTCAACAATATCTCACCCCATTCCCCTCAAAGTCCCGTCTCTTATATCTCACCATCTCATCTATTTCCCTTCCATTTTTGCGGCCAAACTTCAGAACACAAACCCTTTTGCCCACCAAGCTCCAAGAAACCACCTTCTTCTTCTCTCTACCTCTAGCTATGGCCACCGTCACCTCGGCAGCCGTTGCCATCCCATCATTCACAGGCCTCAAGTCGGCCAAGGCCGCCCCGGTAGCCACAACCGCCAAGATGTCCGTCGCCACCCCGAAATTCGGCGGCATCAGGGCCTCGATGAAGGACCTCGGCGTAGCGGTGGCCGCCACCGCCGCCACAGCGATGCTGGCGGGCAACGCCATGGCCATCGACATCTTGCTCGGCGGCGACGACGGCTCGCTGGCATTCGTCCCCAGCACGTTCTCCGTTGCCGCCGGCGAGACCATCACGTTCAAGAACAATGCAGGGTTCCCCCACAACATTGTGTTCGACGAGGACGAGATCCCCAGCGGCGTGGACGCGTCCAAGATCTCGATGTCGGAGGAGGACTTGCTGAATGCACCCGGGGAGACTTACAAGGTGGCGCTGACGGAGAAAGGAGAGTACAAATTCTACTGCTCGCCTCACCAGGGCGCCGGCATGGTTGGCAAGGTCACTGTTAACTGAGAACAGAGTAAAATGGCTCCCTTTGACATGTTGTTTGCTCCTTTTGTTGTTGGATGGAATATATATAGTCGATTGAGATTTGAGAGGTTGGTGTAAGGGTTTGAAATGGTGTGTTGGTTGTTTGCCTGCAGCCTGCTCATCATCATTTCACTTGCACAATTTGTAGATTTGCCGTGTTGCCTAAGTAACCCAAATAAACCCATAATCTCCATTTCCGCAATCACTAAGCTATGTTCTTCACGTTGGAGTCAATAGATTACAAACCAGGAATGAGACTACGGAAATCAGTACCTTCACAATCGGGCTACACAACGAGGGTGATCATACTAAGTTTCTAATCCACACACAAGCCCCTGTATTAAATAGCCAAGTACACAGTCTCTAGATTGCATATATTTCTTTCTTCTTGACAAACACATTTGGAATCAGTAACATTTCTATGTTAACAGAGACGGTACATAGAAGAATCAAAGAAATGATTATAATACATAGCTCCCCCTCCCCTGCTTTCCATCAGAGCCAAACAAATGAATCAATAAGAGATGTTAGAAGTTGAGAACCTGGGTTTAGATTAACTTCATAAGGAGTTCTTCAAGTAGTCAATGCATCAGGAAGCGTGGTTCGAGCTCCAAGAACTTTACCACCCACGTCAGGGAAAGTTTCGTGCCCCGGCAAAGGATTCACTTTGCCGTTTTTATCAACCTGCACAGGATACTTGAGGATGTGGCCTTGCAGTGACTTGAACTTCTCTGATGTGAACTTCTCCCAGTTCTCTTCCGCCGTCTTGTTCACTGCCTTCACGCAGTCTAGCTTTTCGGGCTCTTTGTACGTGTCATGTAATTTTCCCAAGTGTTCTGCCCATAGCGACATTCTGTATCCATAGACCTGCAGAGAAAGAGGAGAAAGTATCAGATTAGTTTCGTGAAAGCTCGGCAATTCGGGTTTGATTCAGCATTTTAGCTGACTGAAAGCAGAATTCATGTTCCGGAAATACAAACCTGGCCTCGGGGGTGACGTTTCTTGTTGCCCCAAGTGTGGTTCGGCTGGTACCCACCCATTGCTATCTCGGTGTCTCTCGAACCAGCCATGGAACGTTGGTTGATATTTGCAGATCCGATGATCACGTACTCATCATCTACTATCATCCCCTTCGCGTGAACGTAGATCATAAACCGTTGGTGCTTCTGGCAGCTCGAGGTCTGGATTAGTCATATGCATGGAAATGATCAGTTTCTCAGATGATTCAGTAGAATTCCATCGTGTAAGAAGTAGAGAGCATGATTGATTACCACTTCGGGTGGGCTTGCATTTTTGCTGCTGCTTGAACTTGGTGGAGATTCGTCTTTTGGGGGTTGTTCTCTGTTTCCGAGACAAAAGAAGTTCAAGTAATCTTGAGGATGGGCATTCTCCATCTTCATGTTTTCCAGCTCTTCTGCTATCAGTCTGTACATCATTTGCATGGTTTGTCCCTTTGCAAAGCAACAAGTGGTTTGGTCGAGGATGTTCGGGAGAAAGCCATTACACCTTACATAAATATATATACTTAAACCAACTACATAATTGAACCAGTGATTTCCACTCTCATTACCTGCCAAAACAGAATCTCTTGCACACAAGCAGAAGAAGGAAGGCCCTCCGGCCACATTGGTATGACAATGTAAACAGCAAACCTCTCCTTTGCCCTTATCTTGCTGCAGATTTTCAATGCCAGCTCCATAGGAATTAGATTATCCGCTCCTGTCCAACAACATAAATCACAATGAGAAAGATGGAATTTACATTGTTCATCGAGCAAATTTCCCACAGCAGACTCATACCGGCTTCTTTGTATGCTGGCCAAGAGTAAGAGGATCCAATGAAGTACTGGTTCTCAATATACACGAAATGCTGGGCAGATCTTATTGCCTGAATATAAGCCGTCTGAATGCTTCGGTCAATCACCAGATTCTTAGCACACACGAGATTCTGTGATGCAGATATGAATTGGTCCAAGTTCAGATAATGACAACACTACAAAGAATGATGAACAATTATGGATGAAGAATGTTAGAGAAACACAAAACCTGAGCCTCTGCTTGGAAAACATCTTTGGGGAATCCTTTTAATGACCCTGAATCTATAGACCGAAAGACCTGTCAATTAATGAAACAGCGGGAGTCAGAATTCGAAGAGAAGCAGGCTACAGAAAGGATTGTAGTCCCTACCTACTATATCAGTTTATTAACAAATAAATCTATGTACTAACAGTTTTAGTAAGACTAGTATAAAGACGAAATATTCTTAGAAAAACGACACTGCACTGAAACTAACCTGGACATTCCATTTTTCAGGGTCTTTCTCCTCAGTCACCCACAGTGAAGGGTCATCGATTGAGACCGACGGTGAAGGACTAAGTATCCAAGAGATTCTCTCCAACTTAATCAAGGAGTCGTCATGCCAATGGGTCACTGTTTTGAACCGCCTGAGTTTCGCAGCTTTCTTCCAACGCTGCTCGAAATTTGTCAGCACATCGTAGGCAGCTGGTCCTTCGATTTTGCAGTGCAGATCATGCCATGGTTCTCTAGGACCCTTAATCCCTACCTACAGAAGAAGCGACAGCAAGAGTCACACAACAGTTTACTTGAAATACAATGTTGCATGATATGCACCTCCATGAGCCATCAATGACGTGTTCACTAAGCATGGATCAACCAACCTAGTAATGAATTCACATCAAAGTTTGTACAAGACAGACTAAAAATGGATAACCTAACATAATTCATAGACGTGATTGTTCAAACAACATATTATTCAGACGGAAAAAAATGTGCTCACAGGAAGAGTCGGGTTATGGAAATCGCCATCAAACACAGTGTCAACATCACGAAACAATCTATGTTCAGGAGTGTCATAGCGGCCATCACAAAGATCTAGACCACCAAGAAATGCAGTGATCTTCCTGTTATTCCCAGATGCTTGCGAATCCACGATCACACACTTCTGATGGTGAGTGAACAGAGTCCCAACAACCTGCCAGCAACACACACGGTACAATGAAAACTCCATCTTCCAGTCAGGTTAAAGAATAAAGACGCAAACTTTTCTGATGCAATACTATCTTCCTAGCCATCTTCAGATCCTTTAGGCTACCATGATTCGTACCAAGGAAAACTAACTCATGCTTTACAGAAACGAGAGAATGCTTGAATATATGATGACACAAAAGAGGGAAACACCGTGTAAAGCGTGCCTGTTGCTTGAAAATGCTAAGCTTACTGCTGGCATATCGAGGCGACAGCACGCAGTTCACTGAAGAATGCTTGAAGAACTTTCGAGTCTCTTCATCATGTGTTTGCATTACTCCAGCCTGCACAAAAAAATAAGGAAACACACAATCAAACCCTGCAACCCTTTACACTTCAAATGGAAAAGTTGACTGTTCTGTTTTTTCATTACCGTGTTAATGAAGAACTTGTTATGAGAAGTCTTGTCATCCCAAACCAGCATAAGAACCCTAACCCCTTCCTGCGATTTATACTTCAGCAAATCCCCCAAGCTCAAATTCCCGCCGTTGGGCAATGGCTTCGTGGGCTCTCTAATCAATTTCACCTTATGAAACACCGACCAACCCACCACATAAACCAGATGATGCGCCTCCAGAATGGCGTGGCAGATATCCTCCCAGCATTTCTCGTGCTTGAACGCCATCCCGCCGTCCAATTTTATCTCCGGTAACAATCCGTCGGGGCAATGGGCGTCCTGGTACAGGGTCAACGAGCTCCCGGGTCGGGCCGGGAAGTAGCAGTCTCGGATGCTGTACAAGTTCGGGTTGTGATCCGAACCGATTTTGTACATCGGGTTGTCCTCGCATTTCACGAATCGCATCTCGATCAGCATCGCACAGTCGGGCTTTGGCGGTTTACCACCGAGTGAGCTGACGATTGGGAACCAATCCCTAACTCGTTCGCCCCCGGCGATTCTCGCGACGGGGACGACGGCGATGCCGATTAGATCCGCGCCGAAGACGTCGTCGTCTTTGACGTGGAACTCGATGTGGGTAGCCGGGTGGGCGATCGGGATCCGGAAGTTCTCGTTCCAAATGGGGTTCTGCGAGTTGGGTATGACCCGGGTCCGGGCGACCCGGGCTCCGGCGACGCAGACGGTGACGTAAGGGTCACTGGTGATGATGTTGGTCTTCCGGCCGTTTCTCTTCTTCTTTCCCTTACGGCCGGAGAACGGCTTCCGGCAGGTGTCGAGCGCCGTGAAGCACAGCCGTAGCCGCTCCGAGAGCAGATCCATGTTCGGGAGCCGTCGAGCCTCAACGATCGTCAAATGGAGATCTCCGTGGAGATAGACATCGTGCGTCTGGCCGTCGTCGAGCGACGACAACGACGGCGAGACGCAGGACATCATAACTGCTGCGAATTAGATCAGAAAAAAAATTCAGGGAATTATGAACTGAATCTTGCCGGCGCCGGCGGTGAAATTTGTTTAGCGGGGAATATGGGGAGTTACATCACAGAGCGGCGGAAACGGGGGAGGCCTGTCGGTTTCTCCGACATAGCTAACCGCCGCCGGCGACGGAGCTCTGTGAGAGATAGTGGGAGGGAAGTGGGTTGGGTTCGTCGATTTAAACGCTGAGCTGTATATATATATTACTGGAAAAGCGGAAGAAATTATGGGGAAACGGACAAATCAGAGGACACGTGGAAGGAACGTAGCAGGGTTCGTTTTTGGGCCGGCGAAACAGAAAGGGAGATATGCAAATGGGCTTCATACGAGGGATTTTATTCTTTTTGCTTTTGTAGCCTTGTTAAGAACTCGCATCATACGGTAATAATCCTTGGAGGAGACAGCTTACGGTGATTACTAAAAAAATAGTAATCATCGTGGTTACTAAGGATAAATTGGTATGGAAAAATAAATTATATTAATTTTTTAATAAATTACATTTTAGGTAGTTATAAAAATCTATTAATTAAAATTCTCTCTTTCTCTCACTTTCGTAATCTCCAGCCAGATTTTCTTTCCATGTTTTTCTCAATCTTTCTGCAAACAAAAAAAAACAAAATCAGTACCAATACATTAGACAAACACTACCTGTTGGGGCAGAGAAGGAAGGGCCCAAGTAAAGAGGCAGGGGGCTGTCATGGGCCGAGGGAGGGGCCAAGCCCAAGAGGGGACCAAGGACTGAGGCCCAAGCAGTGGGGCCAAGCCTGGAGAGGGGCGCATGGCGACAAAAGAGGGGTAACGGTCAGAAGCGTACGGAGGAGACAGGGTGTGGGGCCGTGCGCCTCCGGGGCGCAGGCCGGTGTCAGAATGTCGGGGCGCCCGGGAGAAATAAGGTACAGTGCATTTAATGAGGTGATGACGTAGGGCGGATTTGGGGGGCATTGGTCGACCCTCCCTCGGGTATAAATAGTGAAGTGGGTGGAGCTCATTTACTCAGGTTCCAACTTCTCTCTAAAACTTATATTCAACTTCTCTCTCTAGAAAGTGATTCTGACTTGGGCGTTGGAGTGCTAACGACCCCTCGTAGAGGGTTCGGTGGGCGCTTTTGTGTGCAGGAGACGAGGCGCACGGGCAGAGCGGTTACGTGGCACAAACAATTGGCGCGCCAGGTAGGGGAGTATAACCGGAAAAAGAAAGAAAAAGGGGAGGAAGGCTCATGGAAGAGGCAGCCGAAGCAGTGGGAGAGGGGAGTCGCGCCCCCAACGAGGCGGCCTCGGAGGGAGCGCCTCATGTGTCTGATATGGCGCAAGGAGCGGAAGGAGAGGCGCAGGAGACAGCCCAATCTAAGGGCGTCACACTGACCAAGGAGCATTTGATCAGCATCATAGAGGAGCAAGCCCAGACGCTGGAGGCATTGAGAAGGGAGGTGGAAGCGCTCAAGAAAGGCGGGGACGCCGCGCCTCCCCTCAGCGGGAAGAAGAGAGAAAGAGACGAAGAGGAGGAAGGGATGTCCAGCGCGATGAGGCGTACGGAGGAAGCAGGACACTGGGCGCGTCACGGTGCGCCAGATCTCGAGGAGCCAATCGGGTGGGCGCCCAGGCGACTGGGGCGTCCATGGGGAGTGAGACAGCCGCTAGCGCGGAGCATCTTGGCGGAACAAGCCAACTCAGTCATCCCGGCGCTTCCCAGTTACGACGGCACGTCCGACCCGGAGGATCACTTGAACAACTACTTCACCAAAATGCAGCTATACAACAGCTCAGACGCCACGTTGTGTCGCGCCTTCCCGTCGACCTTTGTGGGCGTGGTGCTGGACTGGTACCACCAGATCGAAGAAGGGATGATCGATAGCTTTGAGCAATTCGCGGCCATGTTCCTCTCGAAGTTCGCCAGCCGGAAGCGCAGGAGCTTAACGATTAGTGCACTATTCAAGATCAGGCAGCGCAAGGGTGAGGCGCTGCGGGACTTCTACGAACGATGGATGTCAGTCGCAATGGCGGTCAAGGACGTCAAGCCGCCAGTCCTGGGGTGCTGCTTGGATGAATGCACCAACAGTGAGGAGTTATGTCGGGCCCTATCGAAGCGTGATGTCGTGTCGACAGAAGACTTGGACCGACGGGTGCAGAAAGTCATTATGCTCGAGGAGACGTTGGCCGCAAAAAGATTGGAGCGAAGGGAGACGCGCCCCGGAGAGGAGGAAGCGCCGCGAAATCACCGGCCGCTTCACGCCCCGCAGATGACCCAGACATATACCCAGGGCGCCCGACGGCCCGAACCGCCGCGCTTCCCACCTCGGAGCGCGTCGAACTTCACTGAGCTTAACGACTCTTTGAAGAATGTTCTGCAATATGCAAGGGATAAAGGGTACCACCTTCGATGGCCGGGGCCCATGCGGGGGCGCCCAAACGAGCAAAACTTGGACAGATACTGCGAGTTCCACCGCGAGAGGGGGCACCACACGGCCGACTGCTACCAGCTCAAGTCGGAAATACAGGGATTAGTGGACAGGGGAATGCTGAATGAGTTCGTGAGAAAGGGGGAGGAGAAAGCGCAGCGCACTTTTATGGCGCAGGAAGAAAGGACGGCTCCACCGCGCAAGGACAACCAAGAAGAAAGGGTTGAACACGCCCTGAGAGAGGCGCCGGGAGAAGGCGAGGGGTTACCGCCTCCCCCTTTCGAGGTCGAACCCGAGACCAATCCCGCCCGAGTAAGGCTAACCATTGAGGCCATTACAGGCACGATCGATCTAAGGCAAAAGTTGGAGGAGGGAAGGCGTCCGAAGTCAGCCACCGCGAGCGCCCGGGCGGCGGTGCAAATTCGGTTCAACGAAATCTCAGAGGAGGCGTGCCGCGTCCCGTCCGTGGAGGCGTTGGAAATAAGGGGCGTGGTGGCTGGATGCGAGGTAAAGAGGATGCTGGTGGATACGAGAAGCTCGATGGATGTGCTGTTCCAGTCCACTTTCGAAAGAATGCAGTTGTCGCCTAGCATTGTGCGTCCGGCCGACACGGTCCTAGTCGGTTTTTCAGGGGTGCTGGCGCGGGTCGTAGGGCGCGTGAGCCTGCCTGTGACGTTGGGGGAGGAGGAGCACAGGGTCACGCATACCGTCGATTTTGGCATAGTGGATTGCCCCTCGAACTATAACGCCATTCTGGGGTGCCCGCTTCTGGCTCTCTTCAACGGGGTGTCCTCAACGTGCCACCAGGTCCTAAAATTTGTCACCCCGAAAGGAGTGGGAGTGTCAAGGGGCGAGGCGTCGCAGGAGGCACGCCTCGTGAAGAGGATGCGATTGTACAACATTGATGTACGACCCGAAGACCTGCCGCGGGCGGAAGCGGCGGACGCCGAAATCCAAGTCCCCTTGGATGAGAGTCGTCCAGAAAGGTGTGTGCGTATCTCTGCCCATACCAGTGGAGAGGCAGTCGAATCGCTGGTCGGGTTGTTGAAGGAGTTCGCAGATTTGTTCGCGTGGAGTGCCCGGGAAATGCCGGGAGTGAGCCCCGAGGTGGCGTTGCACCGCCTTTCCGTGGAAAAGGGCGTGCGGCCTGTGCAACAGAAAAGGAGGCCATTGTCATAAGAGAAAGAGGAGGCGCTGCGAAGGGAAGTAGGGAAGTTGCTGGACGCCGGGTTCATGGAGGAGGCTAAGTACACCACTTGGCTGTCAAACGTGGTGCTGGTTCCGAAGGCTCTGGGTGATTGGAGGATGTGCGTCGACTACACGAGTCTGAACCGAGTGTGTCCGTCGGAAACGTATCCCATGCCCCGCATCGACCAGTTGGTGGATGCGACTGCCTACCACGAGGCGCTGAGCTTCTTGGACATGTTTTCCGGTTACCACCAGATCCTCATGTGTGAGGAAGACCGAGAGAAGACGGCGTTCATGACGTCCTTTGGGAACTTCCGCTACAAGGTCATGTACTTTGGGCTGAAGAACGCCGGCGCCACTTACCAGCGCATGGTGAACACCGTGTTTCAGAAGCAGATCGGAAGGAACGTGGAGGCATACGTGGACGACTTGGTAGTCAAGAGTAAAAGGAAGGAGGACCACCTGAGAGACTTGAGGGAAACTTTCGAGACTATGCGTTCCCACTCACTCCGCTTAAACCCCCTCAAATGCATTTTCGGTGCGGAGGCTGGCAAGTTCCTGGGCTTCATGATAACGAAGAGGGGGATAGAGGCCAACCCAAAGCAGGTCGAGGCGATCAGACGCCTCGAACCCCCAAGGACGCCAAGGGAGGTGCAGAGTCTGAACGGGCGTCTGGCTAGGGGTGGGCATTGGGTGGGTCGGGTGGATTTTGACTATAAAATGCACCCACCCGCGCTTAAACGGATTGATAATTTTTAACCCACCACCCACCCACATTTAGTCTCGGGTTGGGTCGGGCGGATGGTGGATGATGCGGGTGGGTTTGTGGGTTCACCCACATCACAATTTATATAATATAAAGGAGTCAACTTGACATGATAATAGGTGAAGAGAATCATCGAGGGAAATCAGAAGTTGAAATAGAGCGAAAAATGTCGAATTAGTTCTTAAATTGGATAGAAATTCTATTATGAAAGAGTTTTCTACAGATTGAGACGATTATTAGGTGCAAGGAACTAAGGAAAATAATTCCACAAAGGAAAGAGCGTTGATCTAGGCACAAGAATTAGAGGAAAAAGTAAAGGGAAGAAGAGGGGATCTCCATTTGGAAGGTTGGCTTTGAGGTTCAAACTCCAGGAGCAGTCCGAGTTTATATCTAACGTCTCCACTCTCCTCTCTCTAGCGCCAACGACTTTGATTTTTTTGCTGTTGGGTTGAGCGGGTCACCCGCACACTCACCCACAACCCACCCACCACCCGGCGGATGGCTCCCAGCGCAACCCGTCACCCACCCACAGACCCACCCACTTAACAAAATTTAGGTAAAATGCGGGTGGGTCGGCCCAAACCCGCGGATGATCCGCCCGCATGCCCAGCCCTACGTCTGGCGGCTCTAGGACGATTTATCCCGCCGTTCGAACTCCACCTCCGGGACGTCCTTGTTGAACTTGTCGCGAAGGTCCTTCACCGTATCGATTACCGTGTCCGCCTGGAGGCTCTTCCCGGCCGCCGACTTGGGGAAATCAGAGAGCTCCTTCTTGAGGCGCTCCACCTCGGCAGTGGCCGCCTTCAACTCCTTCTGACTCTGCTCTTTAGCCTTGGTGGCCCTCTTCAGCTCCTCAGAAAATCTACGCGCCTCCGCGTAGTACTTATCACGATCATCCCGGAGCGCCGCCTTCTCCTCACGGAGCAACCTCTCCACTTCGGCCGCCTCAACGCGGGTGGCGGAAGTTTGCGCATCGAAGCGCTTTTGGCATGCCTCTTCGACGGAGGATTTGAACTTCGCACGCTCCGCCTCGAGCCCGGTGGATAGCTTGGCAGCCCAAGCCTGGGCCTCCTTCTGCGCCTCGTCCCGCTCCTTGCTCAGTGCCTCTTGCGCCTCTCGGGCACTCTTCAGCTCGTTCTGAAGGCGCTCAGCGGCGCCCTCTGAGGCCGAGCCCTCCTTGACTAAGCGATCGAACTCACGTGTAGTGGATTCGATCAGCATCATCATCTAACACATGCATGAAATACTAAGGTTAGACACTACAAGAGATTTCGAAAATAACAATGGGAAAGGCGAAGGGGACGGGCGCCTTACCTGGACGTTGAGATTGGCCATGGTGCGGAGGGGGCGTTTGGAGTTAAGGTGATCAGGGCGCTCGATCACTGCAGCGTGAGACAGCATCATCTGCATCGAGGCGCCCGGATCCTTGGTCGCCCTGACAGGGACACCCACCGAAACTTTCTCCAAGGGGCGGGATGGAGGTTGGAAGTATGGAGGTAGGATCCTCCCCGAGTGCTCTCCAACGCTGGGCATGACCAGGCTTGCCGGCACGCCCGAGGCAATAACGTGATCCAGCTTTGCCTTTTTCGCTGCGGAGAGTAGAGGTTCGGCGGGCCTCTTTTCGGGCGCCTGGGAGTGAGAGGCGCGCGTAGGAGTTTGGGAGGTGGCGCCTTGGCTGCGGGGCGAGCCGCCTTGGCTGTGATGTGAGTGTGAGGCGCCTTGACTGTGTTGAGCAGGAGAGGCGCCCTGCTCCTCATCCACATGGAGAGGAGAGTTGTATGAAGGCTGCGGCGCCTAGGCCGTAGCAGGAATGCCTGCGCCCCCGGACGGCGCAGGCCGGTTGGCGATGATCTTCACCCGCACTGGCTTCTTTGGTGCAGATGGGGGTGCCCCAGAGGGCCCCTTGACGGTCTTCCCGGCCTTGCCGCGTTTCCGGGGCGCCTTGGGGGGGATCAGATGGAGCTTTGATCGGATAAGATCCAAAATGTTGGTGAATACAGTGCCTGCTCAAAAAAAGGATAAGAGGATGGTCAGTCAAGGCGCATGCAAGACACAAAGGCGCATATGAAAATATATATACCATCATCATAAAATTCCGCCAAGTAGCGGGCGTAAGCGTCGTCCTTTTTCAGGCTTATCGGCGTGGACGAGAGGCGCCGAGCCATATCTGTTTCTGCCTCATTGAGGACGGGGTGCTTATTAAATTCAGCCTCGTCCCCAAAAGCCCACTGCGTCCGGGGGGCGGCCCCACTCTCGAAGAAGGGTGTGTCCCGAGGGCGAACAAAGAAAAAGGATTCGAACCATGAACGCCCCATCTTCTTGCCCTTGCTTATGAAGTGGTACCCCAACTTGGAGCGCCTTTGTAGGCTGAAGCAATTGGGACTTCTAATCATGGTAAAGAAGTGTTGGAATAGTTTGAGGGAGGGTAGAATATTGTGTTGACGGCATTTGAGGCGGAAGAGGACGGTATAAAGGATGATCACGGGGGAAAGGCGCCTGAGAGAACACCGGCACAAATGTAAGACGCCCTCGAGAATCGGGTCGATGGGGAACCGGAGCCCGAAGCGGGCGTACTCTTGGTACACGCCGATCCAGCCGATCCACAGACCCCCACGGGCGCCACAGGCGAGGGGTGCGTGTAGCGCCAGTCGGCAGGCATCTGTGCCGCTCGGATTATTGAGGTGAAGCGAGAATAGAGGATCTTCGAGGTGTAAGGCGGCCCGGCGTCTTCCTCGGACATTTGATCGATGTCCGTGGGCATATACCCAGGTGGCCACATGTTGCCCCACTGGCTTATCCCGAACTCGCGAGGCGCGCCGGTGCCTAGGTAGTCAGAAAAGGAGGAGGTCAAGAAGAGGGCGCATGTGGAAGCAGGTTATGAAGAAAGAGGCGCTCACGACGCACGAGGCGCAAGGTGCTCAAGAGACGAAGGGTGCGAGTTATTTTTTCGTGGGCAACCGCCGTGAGGCGTAACGCGTGAAGAATAAAAGGAGCATAAGATGAGGGGATAGAGCGCACGGGTACCTGGAGCGGCGGCAGGAGCAGCCGAAGGCGCCACGTTGAGGGGCGCGGTGTTGGAAGGCCCTGCGTTGGCGGGAGCAGAGGCTTTAGGCGCCGTAGTGATAGGCGCGGTACTGGGAGGCGCCGCCTCGGTGGGCGCCGTCTTGGGAGACCCGGGTTGGTTGGAAGAGGCCATTGCTACGCGAGCAAAAAAAAAGCGGGAATTGGGGGAGTAGAGTAAGGCGCCTGGATCAAATGGCCGAGAGGATTGGCCGAGAGAGGTGCAGAGCACTGGGGGACAGAGCAAAGCGAGATCTAGAGAGAGAAAGTAGAGAGAGGGCGATTTGGAGAAAGTGAGGAAGAAAGAGTCGAGGGGGGCAATTTATAGGCAAGGATCGGGGGAGAGAGAATGGTCTAGGGGAGACGGAAGGTCACCTAGGCTGAGCCGAATTCAAAATTTGAAATTTGAAATCGCTTCAGCTTAGGGGGAGGGGAATGGACCAGTGATTAAAGCGGGAGCCCAACGGTCAGCCCGCAATTAAGGCGGAAGCCCAACAGTCGGCCTGCAATAAATAAAGAAATTTTTTAATGAGACGGAGGAGAGAAAGGCGCCCCAGCCAACAGGAAGGAAGAGACTCGAAGACGCACCTCGGAGGAGGAACGGTGACAGGGCGCGTTCCACGAGGAGAGCGGGGAACCAAAGAGAGCGCACTGTGACAGGGGCGCTACTAAGGGCGCATGGGTAGTTAGGCCCCCACCAGGCGGTAGGCGCCTAACTGGGGGGCAATTGTTGGGGGCAGAGAAGGAAGGGCCCAAGTAAAGAGCCAGGGGGCTGTCATGGGCCGAGGGAGGGGCCAGGCCCAAGAGGGGACCAAGGACTGAGGCCCAAGCAGTGGGGCCAAGCCTGGAGAGGGGCGCATGGCGACAAAAGGGGGGTAACGGTCAGAAGCGTACGGAGGAGACAAGGTGTGGGGCCGTGCGCCTCCGGGGCGCAGGCCGGTGTCAGAATGTCGGGGCGCCCGGGAGAAATAAGGTACAGTGCATTTAATGAGGTGATGACGTAGGGCGGATTTGGGGGGCATTGGTCGACCCTCCCTCGGGTATAAATAGTGAAGTGGGTGGAGCTCATTTACTCAGGTTCCAACTTCTCTCTAAAACTGATATTCAACTTCTCTCTCTAGAAAGTGATTCTGACTTGGGCGTTGGAGTGCTAACGACCCCTCGTAGAGGGTTCGGTGGGCGCTTTTGTGTGCAGGAGACGAGGCGCACGGGCAGGGCGGTTACGTGGCACAAACACTACCACTTTGAAAAACATCAATACCATTGCAGAAATAAATCTATACCATTACACGAAAACTACCATTGTAGAAATAAATCTATACAATTACACGAAAACTACCAATATAAACAATCTATACCATAAACAATCAATACCATTGTAGAAATAAATCTATACCATTACACGAAAACTACCAATATAAACAATCTATATCATAAACAATCAATACCATTGCAGAAATAAATCTATACCATTACACGAAAACTACCAATATAAACAAATAGCAGTTCCAGACAGTTCCTCATCCTGTGAGATAGTCCTCTGAAACCATGGGGAGAACGAAGCAAGATAATCAATTATTATACATATATCCCCAATAAGAGATGCACTGTTCAATAGAAGCAAGCACATATTTCCCCAAAAAGGAAGATGGTTACTGCAACGTTCTGAAAACCGTACCTGTGCAGATAGAAGCTACAAAATCTTGTTGAGCACTCGCAAACGATGGGTGGCGTAAATGCTGTTAGCAGGAAGTTTATTCATCCTCTTCACCTCTTCGTGAACCACCGCCTTCTTCTCCTCATTCCCAATCGTTTGCCATCTCATCGGCGTCTGAGCAGACAGATGAGCGGCATCGGCGGCGGCCTCAACGACGGGAGTCGTACGTGGAGGCGGCTGCGACAGGTTTGGCTGGAGGGAGGATAGAACTAGGGTTTAGGTAGATTATATAGAATAATCAGGTGTGGTCACTTTTTAATTTCCAAAATTACCCTAAAAGAATCTTGACCGTAAGATTAAAAAAGAAGGGAAAATAATTAATCAAATGGTATATAAAGAGGTTGCCACCGTGATTACTAAAAAACAAGTAATCACCCTAACCCATTCCATCCTGGAAGGTCCGATTCATTTTCATTTCTTTGACTTGCATAAAGATCATATTATGGTACTATTTTAACATGTTTTACTAGGGAATTAGTCGCGAATTCTGATTTTGGAGTAATTAAGTATTGTCGATGAAGGAATATTTTATTTAAAATATTTTATTATGGTCATTCTAGCGGTATAACGTGATAACAAAGCTTAACAAACAGCATAAAAGTAGTCATTTAAATTCGAATAATGGAACTTGTTTAATAGTTAGAAGTATAACTCGACAATAACTTTCCACAACCCGTCCTTAACTACAATTGGCTATAATTGCCCAACTAAATTCAATTTCGATCATCTCAAATTGGTCATGTATGACCATTTCAGCACTCCCCTATATTCAATGTTTGTGCATAGCGACATATTTGTTTTGTGGCCATATCGGTCTAGGTTAAGACATCTCGGGACAACTGTGATACTGTAAATTTGTACTATTCTTTTTGTTGGCGTCTTGGCGAGAATCAATATAGAACCATATATTCATATGACCAAGGTTGTCAACCCGCGGGTTGATCCAGACCCGGTCGAGCTAGTGGGTCAAGGGTTAATGGGTCAACCGTTTTAGCCCGGTTTGGTCCGGAAATATGGAAAAAGTCATTATATTGTACTTATCCTCATAAATTATATCAAATCTTATCTAACATATGAGTTATAACATATAATATTACACCAAAATAACATATCGTATATAGATCCAACATATAGTGAAAATTCACACACACATATATAACATAAATATTCAAATGTTCAACTTATCATTCCAAAAATTGAGCTAGGCGTAAAGAAAAATCAGAAAATAGGCGCATTTCGCAAACCAAAGAAAAAAATGATACAATTTGACCTCCAACCCGGTACCTTGTAGCGGTCGGTCCGGCAGATGCGTGCGGCCCGTTTTTCTCACCGGGTCAGAGTCAAAGTGGGTCAACCCGCGGGTTGACAACCTTGCATATGATAGTATGATACTGAGATTGACCATTAAAATGCAAGGCGGCATGGCATTAAGTCGTTGGATTGGAGAAAGGACACATGGGAGGAGAAATTTGGTGGACTTGGGTTTAGGGTATCGCTGGACCAGTTAGATTCTTACATTTGGGCCATTATAACCCAATCTGCCCCCCATGTGATGTGAAGGCAACGTTAACTGTTTGCATATGCCTAAGTAAAATAATTATTAAATCAAGCTAATTATACTAAACTTGGCTAGTTGGGTTGTGATTGCTTGTAAATTGTAATGATATACATTGTTTATTGAGAGACAATAGTCTTCATATAGGGTTCATGCACTTGGAGAGACTAGGAGGGACTATTTAAGATTAGTCAAGTGTAAAATTTTTTATCGAATCGATATATCAACAAATTTAATCAGTTTGCAAAATAAACTTCGTGAATCATGATTCAAAACTAAAGTTGTGACTCACCATATATCTATAAAGAACCAATAAAATCGATAATTGCATTGCTGTTGTGCTTTTGTAGCTTATCGAATGTCATCAAACGATAAGTTCTCTAGAAATTCAATGAAATGTATTGATAATCTTATGTGTGAGGTAAAGAGACAAATCCAAAGGGGGGTATGAGACCTTGGTGAAATCTTAATGAAAGCTATCGATCACCGAATGCCAATCTATATTTCATACTTTGCACTACACTACAAGCTATAGTTTTGCGCCATTTCCTTGATTTCTGGCAATATATACAGAATAATAATTAATTAATAATGTCTAACCTATCTATATATATACCCACCTAACTAGCAACTACCCAAAAGACCTTCTCCCATAATGTATGCTTTGCCACCTCCTTTGTTATCGCATCCAAAATCCTTTCCATGTGAAGATTAAGGTAAACCAAAACAAAAACCCTCCCAAATGAACCAACATTACCGTCGATTTGGCGCCTTGTCTCCCTTGTTTGGAGTAGGTATATGAATGTAACAACTAACAGCTTCCAGTAACTACATTCTCATCGTCCATGTTCTAAGGGCAACCACAGGTCATGCTTAGGCATCAACGTAGTTCGGATTATTGACCCTCTCTTCTGAAATGGGAGGGGGAACCCTAATCATGAGACTCTGAACGAAGGCTACCGTCTACAAAACCAAACATTATATGGTCAAGTTTACGAGTCGGTCCATCGATAGAGAACAATGTAGTCAGAGAAGCTCACTTACCATTGCGAATCCAACACACATGATGCTGAAGCCAGGGAAGTCGAATGGGGCATTATCGGAGAGAAATAGAGCTGTCAAGTTACGGCGAATTGATGTTGGTTAGTTTTCTCATCCTGTTGAAGCATGGAGGATTAAATGAAATGTGCATTACCTGATAATGGAGAGAAAACTAGGGGGGAAACAACATTCGCAAAGGAAGAAATCCCTGATATGCATCCTTGAGCCTTTCCCTGAAAAAGAAAAGAGAGAACTCAAACTAATTAATCATCCATAGCAGAAATCATCTGTCTCAATTGAGATATCCTTTCTTTCTGTACCCTGAAATTACCTGCTCACATGAACCAACTTGCTTCGACACAATGGTTCGCATCTGAAAAGGGAAGAAAAAAGTTCATTTGGGAATAAGGGTATATACTATAGAGAATGGATAGAGAACTCAATGGGAAAACTAACTTACACATGGTTGTGAGAAAACGAAGAAAATGGAGAGCATAGAGGCAGCATAAGGGACCTGTTCATGAACATCTTTCAAAAAGTTAGCAATGGTAAAGAGTAAATGAGTTAACCATAGTAAGAAAACAGAAGCCAATGAAGTACCCAATAAGACCATGCGACGCTGTAGAGAAATGTCTGCAGTCAAAATATAGAGCTAAAGGTTAGTGAATGAAGGGGCTATGAGAAACAAGATACGAAAACGCGACGTAACACGAAGCTTACATGGACACAAGAGAAGAAAAGTCCAACTGAAAGCAGAACACCTTCTCCCAAGAATGGAGTTAATATGGGCATCACAATCAGCTGCAACAAAACATTTGCGCTCCCCAGTCGTCAACTCATTGGGGAAAATAAACAAACACCTTGTGGGCATACAAGTGAACATCCCTTTACCTGTGAAACCGTCCCAGCAATCCCGGAAATCACCATTAGATCTGCGAACTGATCCTTATTGAAGTGGAATTCTGCTTTCAGGTAGTACTGCAAAACACAGGAACAAGTAGAATCAGTTGAGTTCAAATCAGCAAAACAAAAGCGAGGGACAGAACCCAGGAGATATACCGTTAGGGAGGCATGAAGGCCGGCATCTGAAAGGCTGAGGAAGAACGCTACGATTGCCGCCTGGGTGAAAGTCTTACTGCGAAATCAAAGAAGCAAAACATTCGGATCAAATCGATCTATTTTACCGACGAAAACAGGACAGAGAAGCGGAGGAAAGCCGAAACCCGACCTGCTCTGCAGCATGGTGAGCATGTCTCGCAGGGAAGGCCTCGATTTGAAGATCTGATCGCTCTTAATCGGAGAGATCTCGTTCGGGCAATCTGCTATGATCTTCGCCTTCCCTCGGGAGAGAATTGGCGTCTTGAGGCTTTCATCGACTGCTACGTCGGGAAGGAAAATCCTCATGTACACCGTAGCTGCGATCGCCACGGCCGTCGCCACCTGGAAAGTGGAAGCAGTGGTGAGGAATCGAGTGACGAAGTTCCCGCAGACGAACGCTGCCGATCCGATCCCGGAGAGTATCCCGAAGGCCGCCGCTCGCCGTCCCACCGGAACATTGTCCGCCTGAAAAGTGAAGAACCAACGGGAAGTTTCAATTAGGTGCTGACGCGGGAGAGCGGGTAATTGCAGGGTAAAAAATTGGCCAGGCTTCAAAACATTGGGCCTGAGACATAGATTAATCAGATAAAAGGCCTTGATATTGGCTATAGGCCCATTCACGCAAGGCCTCGTTGTTTACAATTTATCAAGGTTTTAAACCGGTTTAGTCCGTTGACCCGGTTGATCAAGTGGGTTGAGGGTTAATGATCTAGCCGTTTTAGTCTAGTTTAGTCCCAATATAGGAAAAAGTCATTATATTGTTCATATATTTCTAAATTATATCCAATCTCATGTAATATATAAGTAATAACATATAACATTACACAAAAATTGTGTAATAGCATTGTCGTATTTGGATTTTAACATATAATGAAATTCACGAACTTATATAAAATCAATATTCAAATTAGAATTTCAAAGATAGCGATAAACAGATAGGATTAGAAGAAGAGAAAAATTATAAAATAAACTCATTTTGCAAACCAAAAGTAAAAATGACATCGTGTGATCTACAATCAGGTAACCTTGTAGCAGGTCGACCCGATAGATGTGTACAACTGATTTTCCTCATCGGGTCAGGATCGAGTCGACCCGCAAATCGAGTCGACCCGCAGGTTGGCAACCTTGGAATTTACAAATGACAGTACTTATTTGGGCTCACTTACTATTAGCTGACTGTTTCTGATCATCTTTTATGCCAGATTTCCTTTGGTGAAAAGATTCGGTACAGCTTGAAATTGTAGAATATCACATCAGAACTGAAAAGCCCAAATAAGCATGGGCCGGAAGCCCATAAGGTGGGTGGAAGGGGAATTACCACGTAGGCGAGAGCAAGGCAGTGAACACTTCCTTCACAAACCATGGCAGTGAGGGTCTTAAGCACATAGTAAGCGTAGAAGAAGTTCCTGGACCTGCTGTACGCCAATATGGCTGCAAAAACAAACCAAATGACCATGGCGATCGAAGACGGAAAAAAAGCGACATCATTTTGCAGCAACTTGTAACAAGAAAAGGAAATCTTGCTATGATGATGATAAGTCCAAGCCATTACTTCACAAACCCTAATGTGCCTTCTTTCCTGATTTGTTACTAGGAACTAGGAAGTAGGAAGCAGTAGGTTAGAAGGATTCAACATCACCACATGACAAAGGAGACACAAAGAATGTTTTGTTCATTATATGGTCCCATTTTGTGTGGGAGAAGATCGCGTTGGAGTTGCCAACTGTTCTTTTAATGCCATGTTTACTATTCCCTTTCAGCCCCCAACATTCTCATGGGATGGTGCTTTCATAGAAGAAAAAAAACTAACCACGTTAGTATTTAGCTCGATATTTATATCCATTCTCATTATAAGCTAAAACGAGAAAGAACTCCTTAGTCATTATGCTTCGGACGAATGTCTCATCTCTTAGCGGGGCTGGTTGGTTTTGTTGCTTAGCACTAAGCATGGCATTGTCACATTGTGGTTCATCCACTTCATCTACTCCAAAGAATGAGTAAATGACCAAATGAGATAGGTATAATGTAAGTTATAGGGGTGGTGAGGTCTAACTTTGGAGTCTAAAGGAAGGTTTGTTTTTCAAACCCTTAATTAAGGCCCTAGAGAAATATTTTCTTCAAGGAAGTTAATATTCACACGTATGTTTTATTTTCTGAGTTGGTGAACCAATTTAATCTTAACTACCACTTATATAATGATTGTTGTATTTATATAACTGCCAAATATCACTATGTTTTGGCTACGTCAAATTATCAATCTTCCACTCCAGCAAGTAAGAACCGCCACCTAAAACCATGATCCCGGTTTCTCATTGGACGTAAGACCGCCTTCTATTGTGCACAATTGCACTCCAATTCCAATCAGAGATTCCCTCAAAAAAAGATTCCTCCTTACTTTCGAGAAAGTACCTTGGGTTGATCAAGTATTCATGCTTGAATATCTAATCATGGTAGGTTTTTGTGAATGCTTTAATCAATCACGGACTTACAAATTTAAATATTGTCCTTCATAAATAAATGTATCACTCTCAAACAAGATTTTTAAATATATTTTTACCGTATATTCATCATTACTCTCTATGCATAATTACAATCCATCGTCCTAACAACCTGGTCCAATAACCTAGTCAATTTGTTTCCTTTCTTCTTCTCTGTTTTGTTGGTTTATAGTTGAGGTAGTTGCATATAAGCTCAAGTCAAGCTGAGTCACATTGCTAACCAACTCTCTCCAACCATTTTCTCAAGTTCGCATAAAGATTTGAAAATTTTGTTTTAAGGGTAGTTTTGCATGTATCATTGATTGTCCGCATAACAGATTCCATACATGAAACTGAAAAAAAAAAGGTAAATAAGAAGACAATTGATGAATAATCAAGTTTAGGGTTTGCTTATGCTTACCCAAAGGGATGATAGAGAGGCTCATTGGGAGAGTGAGCAAAGCTTTTCTCCCATATTTGTCTGAAAGATTCCCTACCAATGGCATCATTACTAAAGTCCCAAGCCCAATCACCTGCACCCAAAACAAACACACATAAAAACGAGTCTTCATAATAATACAAAAAAGTTAAATTCATTCCTCGGTCAGTCGAATACAAGACTTTTAGGCGGTCGACTTTTGATTTTGTGTATCTCGAGTTTCGACTAGTTCATCACCAAAAACAACTTCTTTAAACCCCGCAAGTATTATTAAACTACTCAATCTTTAGATATCTAGATTTTTTCACCATATGCATTCACAAATGCCACGAAACAAACTTATCTACACATGTCGATTCATCACTACAAACAAACATTAGGATGACGTCGTTTGCATGTGAGACCGAAATCTGTACGGTTCTCAATTAGAGTAACGGTCCAACCGAAAGATACTTTTATGTGCGAAGTGCAGTCACATGTGTCCGACATATTGTACAGGAACGTACCCACGTAGCCGCCACCCCACAACCTCATTACCTTCCTTTTGTTTCTAAGAAAGAATAATATGATAAGCCATTGCAACGGCTTGGTAAAGCTTACCTTGAATTCCAATTCACGGGACTATAAAAGTGGGAAGGGGACAGGTTTCGGTTGAAGCAACAAAAGATGATTCACACTCGACGTAATCTAATGCGACTGGATCCTTAGCGACAGAATGCTTCATTTTTGTTGCTTGCGAAATGCTCCTTTACCCTCGTTGGAGAAACGAAAGAAATGAGAATACGGATACCTAACCATGAACTGTTTATACCAAATGACGCCTGTCCGGGCAGGACTGTATCGAGGATTCGAGGTCGCGGTATAACCCCCCAACTGCCAGGTTCGAGCCCCGTGAATCCCAGCATGCCTTTCTCCCCAGTAATTACAACTAGAGTCTAGAGTGTAGCTTTCTCTGGGATAAGGGAGCAAATAGAGAGCCACCTGACACTTGATTCAACCCGATCATATCTAGATTGCATAACATAATCGAAATGAACCTCAAATGCCTAGTCGGGAACTTGTGATACAAGTTGACCTAGTGATTATGAGAGAACGAAAACCTCTGAACCATCGGCAGCTCGAACGGAGGCCAATATCAGTTATGCCCTGATAGAAACGGTGGATGGTACACTACTAGAACCTTGTGCGTATTGGGTTTACCTAAAATGGGATCCTTTTTCTGTTACAAGAAAGGAAACATGAAGAAAAAGAAACAGGGGAAACAGAGGAAGCTTCGTTGCTCAGGTACCATACTGGCGCCAGAGGTAACTCCTCTGTTTTGTTCAGTCTCAAGTCTAGAAAAAAAAAATCTTTATTCAGGTTTCCCACTTAACCAATACTTTCTGATTGGACGTTCTCTGCAGCTAACAGTAACGTGGAATACAAGAAAACAATGGGCTAATAACAGAGAGGAGGTTAATCAAGGTATTAACTTTGCATATGTTTACAGGGTGAGTTGGACTCTTGAGCTAAGAACTATGCGATGTTTGGGGTTTTATTAATGAGATGACAGAGAAAGGTTAACCGTTGGAACCAACAACAAAAAAGTTGTCAACTGCTATAGGTTACTTCTTGTCGGGTTTTCCTATGAGAAAAACTGCCCCAAATGTCTCCACCTATTAGAAAAGAGGCCTCTTCCTAAACAAGGAAAGCATAGATAAGAGTCATTAGACAGAGCAAGAGCTACTGCCCAAAGCCAGACTCCGTGATCTAAGACTATCATGTCATTAAGAGAAAGGATGGTAGCTAGCTAGGTATCAGCATGGTCGTATAGGATGATGCTACTACGATCATAGAAGTCTATGACATTCGTATTTGCGACATGTTTGAATAGGTGGTATCAAGAGGGAAGAATGATAAGGAGAGAAATGAATACCGCTTGTTGAAATCCGGTGAGGTAAATGGCAAGGGAGCACTCGGGCTGGTGAGGGCAGACCGCAAACATGGTGACGTCGGTTATAGTCGGAGCCACCATGAACGTTCCAAAGTTGTAGAGAAAGAAAGTGAGGAAGAGGTGGGCTAGTGGCCTCCCTAGCTTCTCCATTCTTTTATTAGTCTCTCTCCACTTCCCAACAATGGCAAAAGGAAAGAGAGGGAGAGGGAGGGAGGGAAGAGGAAAGCTAAGAAGCTCTACACATAGAAACCCAAAGATAGAAGGAACTACTTATAAAAAGAAAAGAAGCCCTATTCATGGATGAATAATTTTTTTTTCATTTTGTCTTAGGCCTCTTCCGTGCAACCATGAATAACCCAAAAGGAAAGGCGTTGCCTTTATGAAACTACCACCTCCAATTAGTCTTATATATAGCTCACAGCTCACAAGGGAAAAAATCAAATGAATTGGTAAGGCTTTGGTGGGTTTTCACTTTCCTTGCTCACTAGATTGATTGCCTAATTTTTATATATAAATTTTTTCTTATATGCATAATTCCCCACTTGTTTCTTAGTGAGTAAAAATATCTCATCTACCCAATTGAAGAAATTGCACATACGTCGACATATGATTCATTTTGGACTTGTGAGAAGTAGTGCAGATAGTAGATACCTTTAACCCTCATGAGTTGTAGATAAAACTGAAGAAGAAGAGAAAAAAAATCAAATTTACGATGTAAATGTTGTCATTCTCATGTTACCGTACCTAGTCCTATACATGTAATGAGTGCTACCATATCCAAAACATTAAATGTGATATGTTACACTAATCTCATTTTGACGAAGTACGAGAGAGATTTATGGACAATAAATAATAATTTAATATTAACTTATAGGACCCATTTTGCAGTGAAGTGGAGGAGTTTTTGAAAGAACTCTTAAGGTTAAACATGCTAAAAGATGAAAATAATGCAAAAAAAAAAAAAGGTGACCTCTTAGGATTTCATCATGAAGCACAAAAGCACGAGTGTGCTTTGTGTTAGAGAGTGGTATAAGATCCATGATTGAACCTCTCCCAACAACTCGAGTTATTGGGAGCAACTGGTTCTTGACATGGTATCAGAGCCTAGAACCGAAAGGTCATGTGTTCGAATCTCCACGACCCCCAATATTAATCGTTGTCTTTCAAGCACATGGTATGGTGGGCCTGTGCAAACTTCAAGCCCATGGATTGGCTTTCGTTTGAGGGGGCGTGTTAGAGAGTGGTATAAGATCCATGATTGAACCTCTCCCAACAACTCGAGTTATTGGGAGCAACTGGTTCTTGACACTTTGGACTAGACCCGAAACATATAATATTTTTATCAACACAAAAAAAAAAGTTGAGCTGAGAATTGAGATGTTACAATTACCAATTCTACCATCGAATTCAAACATTTATGGGTTGTATTCATGACGATACCTACAAATAACCCTACATTTTATTAGCATCACCTCATTCATAAAAGTTTACCCTCAAAGTAACAGAGGGGGATGATGACACTCAGAGAGCGATGGGGAACGAAAGTAAAAGGTGCCCTTGGGGCTTCCTTGTGAGGAAAGCAAACTCCAATGAAAATCCCACCATACCCTATCTTGCATTGCAGCCGAAGCAGCTGCCGAAAGGCAATATGAGGCTCAAGCAAGCAAGGAATTCTACAACAGTGACAGTATTGTGACAACAACACTCCCTCTCCTCGTTCTTCTTATGGCTGGGTTTTTCGCCCTTTTTCTTTTCGGTATTGGGCTTTTATTCAACTTTGGGTTCGAGTTTGGCACTTCACTACTTTGGGCTGGCTTTCCTTTTCCCCCCCTTTTTTTTAATCCTTCCCTTTCTTTATTTCGATAAGACTGTGAATCTGCTTTACTGGGTTTCGACCCTTTGTTACCAAACAGGTCAAAAAAGAATTTACCCACATCAGATGGCATGGCACGAACGATGTGGCTTTAGCCTTTAGGTGGTGGGGGAAGAAGAATACTGGGGAAAGTGGAGTCCGGAATTTGGGCCGGCGGTTTCGGTTATGCGAGCTAATAACGCCAAAAAAAAAAAAAAAAAACATGAAAAAAGCCCACCATCGTCCTAAATCCTAATAGACACCTAGACAGAGAAACCACGGCGAAATTTCTCGGCTGAATCATAACAGCGACGGAGAATCTGAATCTCACACAGAACCATTGCCACCCTGAGAACCCCGTTACTTCACTATAGCAAACCCAGTTTCCGTCGTAATCATCTCGAGAGGTTGAGCTAGTGGTAATACAAAAACGGAACATCACCCACTTATTGGGGTTTCTTGTATCCCACGGTTGATTGTGAAGACAGAGTCTGCATGTCTGTTTAAACGTGCTATTGCGGCCAACATTTGAACCAAATTAGAGATTGTGCTTCTAAAAGAATCCTAAATCTGATGCTTAGGAGCTAATTAACTTGGGTTCGAATTACGGGGCGAAGGAAGTAGCTAGGAGGAGAAGGTGGACTTACAGCTTGTTGGAAGCCAGAGAGGTAAATGGCGAAGGAGCACTCGTCTTGACCGGGGCAAAGTGCGGCCATGGTGACGTCGGTGATGGCCGGAAGCACCATGAACGATGAGAAGTTGTTGAGAAAGATGGTCATGAAAAGGTGTCCCAAATTCGGCAGCTTCCCCATTTCCTGGCCCTTCTTCCTTCGTTCCCCTGTTTCGAATCGGAGATTGGAGGGAGAAAGGGAAAGGGCGAGAGCTGTGGGAAGGGAATGAAGGACTGAAGCTTATGTGTAGGATGATGAACAAATGTCGAGTGCACACTTCCCTTCTTATATTTACAACTGTCAAACAGGGAATCATACGTGGCAGCAGAATTCGCTCCTCAAAGTTAAAGCAAAGCAACCCCGTTTCCTTTCTTTATGGTCTTCGTGTCTTGGACCCCGGTCGTGATCACATCTTGGCCGTTGATTGTATGGCCGTGGGTTGATTGTGGATTTATGGGAGAGTGTTGGGTAGCGGGGCCTAGTGGGGTTGGGTTTGTTTGGTTCGGTCCAATCGGGATTTTAGCGTGAGTTATGAACGAATCGTGTGACTGAGGAAATCATCGCATTTTAATCTGCATTTTAAATCAATCGTGGTATAGAAAGATCCTAAAATCATACAAAGCGTAGGAAATTGCAAACACAATTAAGGAAAATTCAGCCACTAGTCAAATAATCAACACATTTGTTATCCTCTCGATAGATATAAGAAATCACAATGTCCCTATTATGATTGGAGTAAATCATGAAAGCTTCAATTGATGGCGCTCCAGTATGTCTTTGTGTTGCAACGGTTGGGATGCACACGTGAATCCAACACAACACATACTCGCCTATACCCAGCGCATCAAGCCAACTAAAGTCCTTCTACAATGCCTCTTAACTAGGCCCTGATTATAGAGCAAATTTGTGAGTTCAATGTAAATATTGTCAAATAGCCTTTTTTATCATCTTGAATCAGACCACCTGCTGTAGCGTGCTCGAAGTAGTGTGGATATGGAGCCGTCAGAATTGAGAGGTAACCAACTCTAGATGACGGTTTTCCAACACGAAATAAGCTCTTATATTAGCTTTGGAAGAGCACATTCATGCAATAGCCCAACTCGAGGAGGAAGATGGTGGGCCCAAAAACATGCCCTTTACAACACACAAGTAACCACACAGGAATATTCTAGTCGTTTAGCTGAATTTAGGCCTATTCACATTGGCATTATGGCTCTTATTGGATTAGGAATTTAGGATGCAGGGAAAAAAAGAAGAAAACAAAAATTGAGGATGCTTTGCTTGTAAGTTGATGCTAATGCAGGAAATTAAGAAGTTAAGGAAGGGGGATAAATTTGGGTGTAGTGGGCCTGGGTGGGCCCAATTGCGACACAGAGTAATGCGGACGCGTGCAGAGTGTAATTACGCAACAAGGCGTGCAAGTTTTCACGCAAGGAGAGTAGGAGACAAGAGAGTAGGGGTGTTCAAACGGTTTGGTTACCATGGTAACCGTTTTAACCAGTACTATTTGGATAATTTGGTCTGGTTAATTTGGATAATTGGTTTGGTTTGGTTAAAGTTTTTAGCTTGTTTGGTTTAGGTGGTTTGGTTTGGTTTCAGACACTCCTATCCAGTCTAACCAAATTAACCAGTTAAGTAATTAGTCATATATCTAACATATATTATATACACATACTTAATACTTTGCATAACCACTCAAGAGTTAACGTTCATCCCTTTTAGACTCATAAAATATAAATCTCAATATTGCTCATATACTGTATATTTGTATATGTAAAATGTAGACCACAACATATGGACGCCTAATTTAGATAAATTTCATACATTATGATGGATGAAAACTTGAAAGGAAGGTTATTTTCAGCCTATGATAATTGCTAAGAGACTAAGTCAATTTACACAAACACAACAATTCATTAACCCATACCATTGTCATAAATTTTTGTTAGGTGAATACTTCTATACTAATCGTAAGATAATTGTCTTAGTTGCATGTATTTTTGTTAAGGGTCAACTATAACTACGTGTTGATTGTTATGTTTTATTCATTATATAAATTGCGAATTGTTGCATTAACCCGAAAATTTTTTATCGTCAATGATAATGTGATTTTATATTGGTTAATCTGGTTAACCAATTAACCAAACCGATTAAACTTTAGTTTGGTTAATTTGGTTGTTGTATTAGTTTGGACGGTTTGGTTATTATATTGTATTCTATGGTTAATGGAATTTAGCCTTATTTGGTTTGGTTATAACCATGGTAACCATTTGAACACCTCTACAAGAGAGTGGGAATATGGGGGTTTGGATATATGATGGGCCGGAAATGAGGTGAACCGGTCAAGATTAGGTTTCGATGATTTGTTTCATTAATTTAAATCACGGTAAAAAGATCCGTGGATATTTGTTCGAATCCGACCTAATTGGGACTAGATACTATAACAACACTCCTTGTGTTGTTATTGTAACAACATTAGTCTCCAACCAATAGGAAGCTAGGGTTGTGATGACTTTTTATTAGATGAGTTGACCTAGTGTAAAATCAAAACAGGGGTATAATTGTCATTATGAAAAATATGTTTAAATAATAAAAAAAAATATTTTTTTATTTTTTCGGCCCAAAATTTTGGTCGCCGGAAAATGGTCGTCGGTCACCGGAATATGCTTTTCGTCGCCGGAATATGCTATTTTCTCATCGGAATATGCCACCGTCGTCGGAATATGCTCACCGTGATCGGAATATGCTTACCAGCGTCGGAATCTAGTCATCGGGGCCGGAATATGCCTATCGGCGCCGGAATCTACTCACTGACGGTCATCGGCGTTTGGTCAACGATCTTCGTTGACCGGTCAACGTTCTTCGTTGACCGGTCAACGGCCAACAACCACCAGATGTTATGGTCTGCATTGTGAGATTTATGGTTTGGTTTCTCACATTTTTGTATGCCTTTTGTGGTTTGCTTTATCGCGTTTGTGGTTTGCATTGAGAAGTTTTTGGTTTGCTTTATCGTGTTTGTGGTTTGCATTGAGAAGTTTCTGGTTTGCTTTAAAAAAATTTGTGTTTTGCATTGAGGGGTTTCTGGTTTGTTTTAATATATTTATGGTCTGCATTAGGACGTTTACTGTTTGTTTTTTCGTGGTTTGATTTACCGTGTTTGTGGTTTGCATTAGGAGATTGCTGGTGTGCTTTCGCAAATATTCTGGTTTGCTTTGTGAGGTTTGTGGTTTGTTTTACGGGATTTGTGGTATGCATTAGGAGGTTTCTAGTTTGTTTTATTGTGTTTCTGGTTTGCATTAAGAAGTTTATGGTGTGCTTTCGAAAATTTTATGGTTTGATTTGTGGGGTTTCTGGTTTGTTTTAATGGATTTGTGGTCTGCACTAGGAGGTTTTTGGTTTGCTTTACTGTGCTTGTGGCTTGCATTATGAGGTTTCTGGTGTGCTTTTCGAAATATTTGTGGTTTGTTTTGTGAGGTTTATGGTTCGTTTTAGGAAATTGTTGTATGGATTGAGAGTTTTTTGGTTTGCTTTTTTGTGGTTTGTTTTACGGCCTTTGTGGTTTGCATTAGGAGGTTTCTGGTGTGCTTTCGCAAAATTTTTGGTTTGCTTTGTGGCATTTGTTGTTTGTTTTAGGGGATTTGTGGTATGCATAAGAAGGTTTTTTGTACTTTTTTTTTAGTTTGGTTTACCGTATTTATGGACTGCATTAGAAGGTTTCTGATGTAATTATGAGATATTTGTGTTGTACATACCAATAAATTCCAAATACATAGTATAAACACAATAACCCGTAAAAAAATTTGAAAAACACGATCCTCACGAACGTTGTTGTCAACTTCGATAATCTTGGATCCAGCCAAGAATTTGGCTAGAAGAAGCATCATTTTGACGATGCTTCAAGCACAATAGTGATTTCACCGTAATAGAGTTGTGATATGCTTCAATACATGATTATTATTGGCTGGTGAAGGGTTATAAAGTAGGAGATGAACATGCCATCTGATTCATGACCTTCCACTTCAGGGGGAGAGAAGCAATGGACAGTGGCTCCCCCATCAACGGAAACAATCTGGCCGGTAATATAAGAGGCCGCCGGAAGGCAGAGGAATGCAACCAACCCTGTCGCCTCCTCCGGCTCTCCAGTTTGTCCCATGAGAGTTCGAGCTCTCACTGCCTTTGAGAACTCCTCGCTCTCAAAGTACTGCAAAACACAACATAAAACCAAACGCTACATTACAACATTTCAATAGCTGCTGCAAAGCCAACTTCATAAATCTCCCCATTCCACTTAAAAACAGAGATTTTTCAAGCCATGGTATTCCACAAAACAGTATCACCAAAACCACAGCTATCGTCCAGATTTCCTCCCTCTCCCATCGGATTCCTCCGCCGCCCGGCGAATCTCGTCCTCCGTCTCCTGAAAGTCGCTACACAAACCAAGAATCAAATTCAGGTTATTTACCTTGCTCACGAACAGGCAGAGGACTAGATCAGTGATTTTTCAAGCCATGGTATTCCACAAAACACTATCACCAAAATTTCGCCCACGTTCTGATCTTTCTTCTGCCACCGTAATCAAGAAACACGGTGGGTTCAGTATCCTGAACCGGGCCGCATGTGTAGCCAGGCCCTGGAGCGAAGAGCGTGAGATTCGCAGGTGGGTGGCTGGTATTGGTTGGGAGATTCCCAACTGTGATTTCGAATGCAGAGAATGATAATGGAGGATCAATTGCCCAGGCCAAGATCACTCCGCTGAGGCAGCATCCCTCGACGGTGGCTCCTTCGGCACCGGGCCATAGGTCGGCGATGAGAGGGTTTTGCTTGCAGCAGTGTGGCTTCTGGGCAGCGAAGTTCTTGTAGTCCCCTGAATCGGTGGCGTATGCGCCTGCTGAAAGTTGCTACTCATCACTCTGTTCCAGTATTCCCCTGCTGCGCTGCTACGACGACCATCAACCTCCTCCTCCTTCTTCGTCTTCGTCTTCTCCTCGTGCGGAGGATCCAGATTCAATCCACTCTCCGCCGCTTCATTTACCACCAACGGACCTCCCCAAGCTTTTCCAGGTTCACTCCTCTTTCCCTCTCCCCTGCTCTGGGGAACGATTCTCAATTTACGAATCCCCACAGCGCACTGAATCTTCTTCCTGCTGATTTGGTCTCCGCCGCCGCCGGATTCACCCTTCTTAGGACGCGGCTCGTTAATTGACCCGCTCCAAAAATCACTATGTGGGTTGTGAAGAAGAAGCCGAGGAGAAGCTGATGGTGGCGGAAGAGAAGCTGATGGCGGCGGAGGAGATCGAGGTCTGGTAGGGGAAGAGATCTCCTATTGCAACTCCTCGGAAGAGCGTCGCCTGTGCTGGCGCCGGAGGGAAGAAAACGATCGGCCGCAGAATACGATTGGGATCTGAAGAATTGGGGATTGGAGGAGAAGGAGAAACACGCTTTTTATTGCCTTTTTTAATTCTAATTTTATTAATTTTCGTGTAAGTTTACTCTTATACCCTTGTTGTTACAGTAACAACATAATGGGTGTTGTTATGCTATCCGGCGCCGACCTAATTCGAAGGATTTGAACCGGTATATATAAAACCAAACCCAAATATTATGGGTAATGGATGGACATGATTTTCTCACTATTTAACTCGAACTCGCCCGATTATACACATACATATGTATTTTGTCTAGAAATTATCATTATTTTTCTCCATATTTTATATTAGCATACAAATATAATATTTTTATGAAATTGTGTTATTTTTTAATTAATTAATTTATTATAGTAATTTATTGTCGTACTTTTTGTTTTATTTAACATGTGTGAATGTTAACATGTTGGTTGGAGTTATAAAGAAAAACTATTACCCATGGATAACCTTGGATATCCAAAACCCGAACGGATATGGGCATGGTTTTAATTTTTACCCAATTCTTATGTGGGTATGAGTATGGTTAAAACTCGAATTTTTTTTAGTAGGATAATGGATATACACTATCGGCCCGACCCGTTGCCATACACTTTCTTGTTATAGTATTCGATCCCTCAAAGCATAATGAAGGTCAATAGTGGGCAGATGATTTTTTTTTTCCCGATAAGGGTGATATAGGTTTGATTTTTTGTGATTAAGGTACTACTTAAGGGATTCGAACCTAGGACCTCCAGGTTCTAGGCTAGTGGTATTACCACTTGATATGAGCAAGAGTGGCTTGCTCAAAGGATCAAAGTCACTCATTCCTCTCAACTCCAAAGATCGAACAAAACACAAAAGGTTTCGAGACGAAACAAGGGGCATGGTATTGGATGATGATCGACGGGCAACTTCAACACTCGGATTGGGGAAGAGGCTCGTTCGATTCGAAGGTAGCAACTCGACCATGATTGAGGGGAACACCTAACCGATACTGAGCTTGCTTGATTACGGGAATTAATCCAACAAACAAGGACAATCTATGATTCGGGCCTAAATGTACACTTTTGATCCCCATTTATCTTTGGCGTTTGTGGCATTTGAGCTCCGAAAGGTGTGGTTTTACGCTAGGTTTGTCGTGTTTCAGTGTGTTTCAGAATCTAACAGGTGGAACCAACCCCTGAGTCGATTGTTGGAAGAAATTGCGCGAAGATCGGACCAAAGGAGGAAGCAGCCGAAGATCACAGTTCATGCAGGAAGTTCACAGTCATCAGGACCCTGAACTGGAGCCATAAATTGTGAACTGACAGGGTTCCAGAGCGATTCTACAGGTTACTGGCATCTAATCAGTTCACGATCGCAGAACCGTGAACTGAAGCCATGGACCGTGAACCAGCTAAATGAAACGACGCGAATTGGTTCGAGGTCACGGTCACTGCCAGTAGTTCACGACCGAGAACTGAGCGCGATCTGTGTGTAAAAGGAGAGTTGAAAGGAAGAAGAAAAGGGAGATCCCAAAGGGAGAGAAACTTTCTTTTTTCTTCAAGAATCTAGAGAGAGAAAGCCACGAACCAAGAGGGAGAAGAAGCTAGGGTTTACTCCAAGTCAAGATTTGGGAAGTTCCTCTTCAAGAGAGGATTACTACAAGCACAAGGGAGGATTGATGCATCACAATGATTGTTTTTCCTCTTTCCTTTGTGTTCTTCCTTCTTCTAGCATGGAGTAGTCTCCTTTTCACTTGGGTGTTGTAGAACCCTAACTTCTACCATATAGTTAATTGTGTGAATTGAATGATTGTGTGTGGGTGGTGTTTAATTTGATATTTGAGGTATTTTCTTGGTGATTGTTCATTGTGTGTGCTTGGCAATATATTGTGCTATTCTAACCTAGCTTAGAGGGAAACCGCCTTATCTTAAGCGGTTCAAATTGAGTTGGGTTTTCGTGGGCATTCCATGCCTCCAATCTAGGTTAATGTAGGGAAAATCTCTAAACTCAAATCGAGCACCTAGGTTAATTGTGATTAAGTCGTCCAAACCCCGGTTTGAGGGAGAAGGTAAGTCAACCCTCAATTGCTTGGTAGTTAGTTAGGAGGAAACAACTCCCGAGTGAAGTTTCTCACCAAGAGTTTCGATCCTTTTACTTTTCAAGTCTTTCTTTTTAATTGTAGATCGTATAGATTTTCACAAACATCATTCCGCTAGATAATGTTTCAAACAGTCGAAGTAAGGGTACATGGGCCGGCCCAGATCGATATTTAAACATACTTGCCCTATATTGCACCCGTCTAAGGTTTATACTTGGGCCTTAGGTGGGATTTAAGTTCGATATTCGGGTTGGGTCAAGTTTTTGGCGCCGTTGCCGGGGAGCTTCGGTCCATTATTTAGAAAAGATTGTTTGGTGTTAATCTAGCTTTCAATTTCTATTTTGTGTGTGAAAATCTTGTTTGTGCTAGACGTGTTGTGGTTCTTTTGAGTGTGTAGAGAGGTGTAGACCTGGAGTAATCCAACACCTTTGGTGCCACTAGACGAGGATCTCAACCGGACTCTCCGACACTTGGCTTGTGAGAGGGAACTAGCAGAGGCAAGAAGGAGGATAAAAGAGGAAATTGTAGTTGAGGAAGGGGTTGATTCCGAAGAGGAAGGAAGTGAAGCCAAGATGGCGGCTAATCAATACGCTCAAGGAGCGGTCACGTAGGAGCAACCAAGGACCATGGGCTATTACATGGCTCCAAGGTTGGCCGACATTCAACCCGCCATTCGACATCCACCCGTGGCCGCCAACAATTTTGAGATCAAGCCCGCCCTTGTCACCATGATTCAAAACAATGCCCTATTCCATGGGCTTAGCAGCGAGTTTCCAAGGGAACATGTTCAGAAGTTCATTGAGCTTGCGGGGAGTTTGAAGATCAATGGTGTCCTCCAGGATGCTTTGAAGTTGAGGCTATTCCCCTACTCTCTTGCGGGGGATGCGTCTCGGGCCCAACAATAGGTCGTTCTCTCGATCACTTCGTGGGATGATATGCTCAACAAGTTTATGATTCGGTATTGCCCACCTTCAAAGATGGCGGAGTGGCGCAAGAAGACCACCCATTTTGAGCTAGAGGAAGATGAGACATTGAGGGATGCTTGGGAAAGGTACTCCGATTACTTCCTCCAATGACCACATCATGGATTCGAGGATCAATTCCTGATTGAGAACTTTTATGGCGGTCTCCATCAAGACAACAAGATCCTCATTGACTCCTTATGTCAAGGGAAATTGATGAACATGACTCCACCCCAAGTGACCGAGTTTCTTGAAGACATGGAAAGTAAAGGGTATGATTGGGGCTTGACAAGAAGTGGAAAGAGAAGTACTTCAAGGGGAGTGCAAAGTGTAGGAGCGAGTCCCTCGCTTGAAGCTAAGCTTGACAAGTTGATTGAGGTGATCTTTGAGGAAAATAAGTAAGGGAAGAAAGTGTTGATGTCTTGTGATTGGTGTTCTATCACTAATAATGAAATTGTGAAGCGGGAAGGTGACTCCGGAGGTTGTTTCCAAAGACGTGATCGAGAAGAAAGACTCTCTACCAAAGGATGGAGATGAAGAAACCTCGGGAGAAAAGAAAGGAGTGGCAAGGAAGGCATCGCCAACGCCACCTCCAGTGGGTGAGTACACGCCACCCCTTTCTTTCCCCACAAGGGTGCACAAAGAAAGACTGGAAGCGGAATGTGGAGGTTTCATGAAGATTCTCAGAAAACTCCACCTCAACATT